GGTCAGTTTGCATATTACCCTTTTATTATATAGGATAGAGGCCTGGTGCATGGGTGGGGGCCGGCTGGTTTGCCCTGAAGGGTGTCCCGGATTAGGGTGGGGGTCACGCTGGGGTTCCTGGCCAGCCTGGGTGAGGGGCTGAGGGCTGTTTTCAGGCTGGCCACACCGCCTTCAGGGTAGGGGTCCCTACTGGGGTGCCTGGCCAGCCTGGGTGAGGGGCTGATGGCCGTTTTCAGGCTGGCCACTATCCTGGCGACCCAAGCTCCCAAACTTTCTCTCTCTCTTTTTATTTTCTTCTGGGATTTATCTTCTAAAATTGAAACTCTGTAGCCTTGAGTGGAGCCCAGGTCGACTGGAAGCCTGGGCTCCCAGCCCCTCCTTGAGCGGAGGCCATCGCTGGCTGGAAGCAGGTATCTGGGATTTATTTATCTTCCACAATTGAAACTTTGTAGCCTTGAGTGGAGCCCAGGGCTGGCCAGGGCAGGCGGGAAGCTTGGCTTCCTCCATTGCTGGGGGCAACCCAAGCCTCCTGCTCACTCCAGCTCCGTGGCCACCGCCATCTTAGTTGGGTTAATTTGCATACTCGCTCCTGAATGGCTTGTGGGCATGGCTTGAGCGTAGCGGAGGGACAGTTAATTTGCATGTTTCCCTTTTATTATATAGGATGGTTATTTGTTACTGGCTTCTTTCACTTACCATGCTTTATGCCTGCTCTTTGAGGGTAAGTATCTGGCTAATTCTTACTTATCCTTCAAGTCACAGCTCAGAGATGATCACTTCTGGAAGTCTTTCCTTAACCCCATAGCTGTATTAGTTATTTATATATACTTGCAAATTCTCTATAATCACTTCTAATTATAAGCCTTATATTGTCTTCAAATTGTCTTCCTACTTGCTTGCTCTAGATCCCATCCTCTCTTCCATACTCAAGAATATTGCTATAGCAATTCTTTACCCTCCTGCCTTATCCATTTCCCCCATCCTCTTGGAAATACTCTTATTTCTCCCATTAAAACAACAACAACTCCTCTTCTCTGGACTCTACTTCCCCATCTAGCTACTGCCCTTTCTTTCCTTCCTCTTACTGCTAAACTTTTGTTTTGTTGTTCTTAATTACCACCCACCCACCCACCCTCCCCCACCTTCTCTCTGAGATTCCCCGAGTGTTCCCATTTGCTCCTTCTCACTCCATCCTAGAGTCTGGTTTTCACCCCTAGCACTTCACTAAAACTGTTCCCATTACGGTCACCAGAGGTTTTCACATTGTTCCAGTGTTCAATTCTCAGTCCTCATCTTACTTGACTTACCAGTAGCATTTGACAAAGTTGATTATTCTCTCTGTGACTTTCTTCCCACCAGTCAGTTGACTACCTTTCTATCTGCGTCTCCTCAGTCTCAGTTGCTGGTTGTTTTTTTGTTTTTGTTTTTTATCTCCCTACTGTTTATAATTTAGAGGGCCAAAGCTCAATTTCTAGAATCTCTTATTTAGAAATCTATACACAACACACCCCCTTGGTGATTTCTTCCTACCTCATGGTTTAACATATTGTCTATATACCATCAGTTTTCAATGTCACAACTCTAGCTTGAACCTCTCCCTTCAAATCCAGAATCCCATCTCCAAATGGATTTCTAATAGACATCTCAAACTTAGCATGTCCAAAACTAAGCTCCTGATATTCCACCCATACCTGCTCTACTTGTAGTCTTTCAGACCTTAGTAAATGGAAACTTCACCTTTCTAGTTGTTCAGGGCAAAGACCTTGCTTCTATCCTTGATCTCTCTTTCTCTAGTACACCCCATCTAATCCATCAGCATATTATGTTAGTTTTACTCTAAAAATATATCTAGAATAAAGTCATGTCTTATTCCTTCTGTGGCTACCATTACTTGCTTGGAATACTTCAATATGTTATAATAACTATCTCTACTACCCTGCTCTCAGGATGTTTTCAATAGAACAGCTAGAGCGAAACAGGTCACATTATGCTACCTTCCTCACTCAGGATTTAAAACAAAGTCTTTATAAGACAAGGCTTTCAGGATCTGACCCTGTCCTGTACCCATCTCCTCCTCATTTGCTGACTTTGCTCTAGCCACACTGACTTCCTTGATTTTATCAGTCATATCCCTGCCTTTGTACCTACCATTCCCTCAACTTATCTACATGGCTTATCACTAAGTTCATTCCTGGCTATATTATCTTTCTTTTTGATGTGTCTATGGTGGTGGGACAACAATAAGTGTGGGAGACTAGAGTGAGTGCCTCTTGCCTTTCAACTTGAGATAACGTGGGAGGGCCATAGGTGGAAAAACGAGAGGGCCATGTGTGCAATGGTCACCAGAAATTTCTGGCAGTGCCAAACCTGCTGTGGACCCTTTTCTCCCTGCATCTGATTTTATTTCCTGATGTCCCTATTGAGTTTCCTGAAATATACCCATACTTTGTCCTTATCCATCTCATGAACACTGTGTTTCCTTAAAATTTATTGATAATTTCACTTTTGCTTTATTTACATCTATCTACAAAAGCAATAAAAATTCGTAAATCAGGGGATTTTAACAATTTATAATTTGTTGTGGTAAAAACATGTTCTCTAAGGCAAAAGTACCAACATAATCCATATATATAGTCAAAAGGTTGATGAAAATGATAGCCTCTGCACTCAGTGAATTATAATCAAGTTAATGATATTTAATGGACTATTAGCATTTGTTCTAGAAATGTGTTTTACAAGACTAAAATCAACATATATTTATTAAAAATTAACGTCTAGAGTAATGAGCATTTTATAAATGACGATAAAAGGAAATTCCAGTTAGGTTATATCATGTCAATTTATGAGCAAACATATGATAAAAAAGAGAAAATGCTACAAAACATGCCACTGTACAAAAATAACTCCATTTATAATTTTAAAATTTCAAAGAAATATGAGTATATTTGAAGCTACTTACAGTAGATTTTTCAGGGGAAGATGGAACATCAAATGACTCGTTAATATGGTTTTCCAGATCTTGTTGCGAATGTGAATAATACATCTGGTTCCAGCTGTTTTTCTTCGATTGTTTGGGCGGTAAAGCTGGAGGCTGCCCATCCCCAGGGGTCTCTTGTGATCTAGAGAGGAAAAAGGAAAAGAATGAATTGTTACTAAAAGCTAGAGTCAAGGAACTCAGATATTTACAATGTCTAGTAAGAGACAAGCTTTAGCCCTGACCGGTTTGGCTCAGTGGATAGAGCATCAGCCTGCAGACTCTAAGGTCCCAGGTTTGATTCCAGTCAAGGGCATGTACTTTGGTTGTGGGCACATCCCCAGCTGCAGGAGGCAGCTGATCGATGTTTCTCTCTCTTTATCTCTCTCCCTTCCTCTCTGTAAAAAATCAATAAAATATATTAAAAAAACAACAACAAGCTTTAAATACCATATTGATTTGCAAATGCCACTGTTTAATGAAATATTTTTACGGTTGAAGTTTAAATAGCATATTTAATTTCCTACTTCATCAAATCTGTAATCAATACTACATATAATAAAATCTATGTCAAGGGTATCCATGTGAAGATGTTTATTAATCTACTATAACAGTGTATATACCTTTCCAAAAACCTTTTTAAAAAAGTTTTCAGTGCAGTCATATGAATAGCCAGGGAACAAGGCAGGCAAAGAGAAATAAGAACTGAGAGGTGAGCCATTCCACAGGTAAAACAACTGGTAGTCTAGAGAAGTTAAGTGGCCCAATTTATTTAGAAATAAAACACAATTAATGAAAGTAATGAACTCAATGCTGCAACCAAGATTAGAATCTGATTAAAAATGCTGAGATCACCAAAAAGACAAAACTGAATGAGACCTTGTTAGAGTATATAACTTAAGGGGAAGAAGCGAAAATCCAATTAACATTAGAGAACATAAGCCACAATCTGTAACAGGAGGTACTGATAAAAAAAAAAGCTAGGTATAATAGGGGAAGTGTCAAGGTAAAAAATTGTAGCTTTTGAGAATAGAGAACAGATGACGGTTGCCAGAGGTGAGAGGGGTTTGGGTGCTGGGTGAAAAAGGTGAAGGGAATAGAAAGTACAAATTGGTAGTTACATAATAGTCAAGGGAATGTAAAGTACAGTAAAGGGAATCTACACTAATAAAAGAGAAACATGGTAATTGGCGTACGACCCCTACCCTTTTCATTGGCTAATCAGCGAGATATGCAAATCAACTGTCAGCCAAGATGGCGGCCGGATGCCAGGCAGCTTGAAACTAACATGAGGCTTGCTTGCCTCAGTGACAGAGGAAACCAATGTTCCCCGCCTGCGGCTGCAGGTCTCTGAGCCTGCAGTTTGAAACTATGTAGCAAATACCGCCGACTTCAGCCAGCAGGATCGCAATATTGTAAGTAAGGGCCAAAAACCTACTTTCAGCAGGGGAGGCCTAAGAGCTGGAGCCAAGCCTCAAAGCTAAAGCTGGCCCAGAATAAAAAAAAAAAGGAAAAAAGGAGCGGTTGGGAGCTTCAGTCACCCCCAGCCTGAAAACAGCCCTCAGCCCCTCACCCAGACTGGCCAGGCACCCCAGTGGGGA